CTATAAATTCTCTGGGATACCCAGTGCTAAGGCAAATCCGTGTCAATTTGTCTAATTTCTCGTTCCAGAACTCAGTGTCCATTAATCTTAAGCTTCTGAGCCGATTTTCACTTTGTAGTTGTAATGAGACTGGAAATCGGGAGGACGACAAAAATGGATATGCCTATCTTCCTGTGAACTGAGCCAAAGATTGCGGCCGTTGCTAATAAAATGGAATGTCAGGGTGATAACAAAAAAGACAACATTCTTTATAAGCCTTCCGACGCAACACGAGAATGTTGAAAAACTGGATTGATCGGGAGTCTATAGCATCAAATGGGATCAGAAGCATATTTGTGAAACTGGAAGAGAAATTAGCCTACGAATCGATGAACACTAAAGACTCTACAGAAACATGAACACTGAAAGATTCGAAATAACGGATTACATAGCACGAAAGGGACACGAAATCGAATATAAATCGACAAAAAGGCTGCCTGCATATGGTGGAAATACAAGTAAACGTAATATACGAGATGCCATTGATATTTTGACTGAAAGAAACCTAATGATTAGGAGACTTAAAGAAGGCAGGATTAGCGAAAACTTTACATGCTGTGTAAACATACTCCGAGAAGATCAGGGAACAGGAATATCAACAATATAAGACGAATGGACAAAGGTAATACTTTTAATTTTCGGAAAAGAAATTACAAGGAAACTAGAGAGGAGCAATTGGAAACCAAGAGAAGATGTCTACAATGATCCTACTCAAATCAAGTATAACCATCACATTTGGGATTTGGCACGCAATACAATGTAATATAAGAGCGAAAGACACGGTAGTGATTATTTTTATTTTCCTATTAGTAGTCAAGGTTCGTTCCTCTAGGTCTTTCTGCCAATATGACCAAGTTGCAAATACAAGGTCAAACAACTTCTGAATGAGACGAACGAGTGTAAGAAACTAATTAAGAACTACCTCTGGCTGCTGAATAAAATTTGAGGTTTATAAAGAAAAGAAGGTAACAGGAAGAGTCACTGAGTAAGAGAAGATGATTTGACTAGGCTTGAGTTTAATTTAGGACCCAAACTGGTTCCAGGATCACAGGATTATAGGCTTATTTATTTACGTTTACAAAATTTTAAATACATCCACTCTCTTTCCTACATTACTTCCACTTGCGTACATGCATTTAAGTCAAGCATAAAGCATTCAATCGAATGATGGAATGCTTTTTTAAATTTATAAGGTTTAGGCATAACAAGTAAGTTGGGTGTTAGCCTGACATTTTTGGTTTACTGTTTTTGGTGATTGTTCGTGAATTGTGGTTTATGTAGCAAAGACTGGTGCGTCGACAAAAAAGTGTTTTCTATTGAATTAGATCCTAATTAGATTGGAATTCACAATCGGATAAACATTTGTATTGCTTACTTTCCTTTTAATAAAACACGAATGAAGTTTAACGACTTTTTTTGCATTTTTACTACAAAAGAAGTTCAAGATGGCTCGGATCTCCTGTCTGGTGATGCCGGGGACGTCTGTGTTGCAGAACAGGCACATTGCATTGTTGTTCCATCGTATGCTGCATGGTTTGACTACAACTCCATCCACGGGATTGAACGTCGCGGCCTACCAGAGTTCTTTAACGGTCGAAATAAAAGCAAGACTCCTGAAGTCTATTTGGCCTATAGAAACTTTATGGTGGATACATACCGCCTTAACCCTCAAGTTAGTCTCTAAAATGGACTCCTGTGATTTTCTTAAATTTAACTTAGGTTTACATAAAAAATAAAGGGCTGAATAGTGAAAAAGGCGTTTTTGTGTATTTTGAACACTATTGCACAT